GAGGCTGCGCGCTGCGGGTGGCTCGCTGCGCAGGCGCAGCCGGCTAGAGGTTGGAGAGGGCGGGAGGCGGGGGTGCCGGGCACGCGGTCGGTCTTTTTTTTTTTTATAACCTCCTTCCTCTGCCATTATTTTCGCTGGTCCTTGTGCGCAGGCGCAGTTCTTCCACCGAGCCTCGTGGGCGGTTGAGGGGGGGCAGGGCGCCTCGTGAGTAGGGAACGGGTGGGCGGTGGCCTCGCCTGCTCCTGAGCCGAGAGAAGTCTATTTAACCTATTGTTAGAGCTTGTCCCGGTGAACGCTTTGAGGATGTTCTCTGGGACTGGGGCGCACCCTGATCCCGTCGCGGTGGCCTTCCAAACCTAGAAGGGCCGGGAAAGTTGTCCCAGGGGGGTTCCGTTGAGTCAGGCCTTGAGCCATCCCGCTTTGGCTTCGGGTTTTCCGGAGTTCGGGGATGCCTTCACCCCCTTGAAGCCAGCCTCATATAACCTGGGAGGGAGGCCTAAAGAGATTGATGAACCGCGGTGGGTCGGTGTGGGGGAAGAGGACTCGGACCATTTTTTTGGGCCTCTTGAAAGACCATTAATTTGTTAATTCTAGGCGGGAAGTCCACTTCCTCCCTGCCTTCCAAGGTTTTAGAAAAAAGTGACCTCAATAAAAGTATTTTTTTTAAAAAGACGAGCAAATAAGAGCTTACCGTTGCATGCCCAGAAAAAGAAATGAAAGCGGCCCTCACATTCTGCTCATTCCAAGGCTTGCCTTGGAGCTCTCAGCTTTTCAATCTGCTTCAGACGATCTTTCTTCAGGATCCTGGTTTTGAAGGAAACCATTTTTAAGGGAAGGGCTTACAGCCCCAGTTGGTAGGAGAGGATTGGAGAGATGAGAGGAATTTGGTGGGTGGGGGGAGGTCATGATAGGGCAGGGCTAGGATTAGAATTTAGGGCTACAGAACTCCCAAGCTGTTGAACCCTGCGGTGTGTGCCGCCTAGGGTTTGTGGCCGTCTGTCCTGAAATAGAACCCAAATCGGCTGCTGTTCCACAGACTTCTGCCTGCTAATTCCCAGGAGGTTTTGTGTGGGTGGAAAGATAGTACCGTGGAGTAGGGCTCTGGGGCTCATGGTCAGCGTCTGTCCCATCCCGTTTCTCTTGAGTCTGGCCTCTCCTTGGGCAGGCAATATTTCTCAAAGCAGGTCTTGCTGATGAGCTTCTCGGGGCCCATGCTGGTTTCCTCTGCCTGTACGTGGAGGCGGGGCATGGTGGGAAATAGTAATACTTGGCCAGGTGGCAATGGTAGCAGCTTGGTCAGCCAGAGAAAGGGCAAGGGAGCTGGGCAGCTGCCAAAGGAAGCCCTGGTTCTCACTGTAGCAGATCACTGCTGGTCCCTTCATGCTAGTGGACTCCCACACTTCCTTGATATGGGGTTAGAAGATTTGGGCCTGACTGGTCTTCCATTTTACGTTTCTTAGAAGCACCAGTGGGCAAGAGGTCAAGACCTCAGGCCTGCAGCTCTGCTGGCCTAGAATCCTTTGGTGGTGATTGGCTTGAAGTCCCACTCTGGGTCAGCCCTGCGTGCCCTCCCTCCATGACACCCAACTGTCTCGCCTGACTACTGGGTCTCCACCAGTCCAGAGATCAGAAAATGAAGTGTCCTTTCTATTTCCTCTAAGGAGAATTACGATGACCCACATAAAACGCCAGCCTCCCCAGTTGTCCACATCAGGGGCCTGATAGATGGCGTGGTGGAAGCCGACCTCGTGGAGGCCCTCCAGGAGTTTGGACCCATCAGGTACTGGCCTAAACAGCTGAGGGTTGGTCTCGAGAAGTCAACTCTGATGGAAGGACATGGCGTTGCTATCCTGGTGCTGGGGTTCCTCTACCTTGGCCAGGGGATAGCAAGTTCCTTCCCTTTCACCTCTGCTGGTTGCTCAGCAGGCATTGGCAAGTATTTAGCAGGTGCCGAGTGTTGGGAATATAGTAGCAAAGAAGACTGCCCTGGGGTCTGTGGGAGACACATTGTTATCACTTAAGTGTTCAGAAAGCTTCCCGCAGAGGCGGCAGGAGCAAACTGTGCCTGTTCAGCTTGGTATTTCACGTGGGGTAGGGGAGGGGTGTTCAGGGGCGCCCAAGAAGTCAGTGCTTGCCAGTGTTCCCCAAAGTGGGCAGTAGCCACCCCCTTCTTTGGGCCACTGGGGTAGTCAGGGAGGGGGCTGCAAAAGTGGATACGTTATCCTGGATCGTGGACTTAAGTACATATATTTCCATGGCCAGGTGGAGCATTGGGAGTTTGGTTTCTGGAAAGGTGGTGGGCAGCCCGCCAGGTTTGGGCCCTTCTGGTATGCACGATGTTGGCCTTTGTCAATACTTGGCTGACCCCTGTGTTCTTTGGCAGCTATGTGGTGGTGATGCCCAAGAAGAGGCAGGCGCTTGTAGAGTTCGAGGATGTGTTGGGGGCTTGCAACGCTGTGAACTACGCAGCCGACAACCAAATCTACATCGCTGGTCATCCAGCTTTTGTCAACTATTCGACCAGCCAGAAGATCTCCCGCCCCGGGGACTCAGATGACTCCCGCAGCGTCAACAGCGTGCTGCTCTTCACTATCCTGAATCCCATCTACTCCATCACCACGGTACGTGGACTGCCAGGGCCCTGCATCCATCCTGCCCCTCCCTGCCCAGGCCCTGCGTCTTACCTCTCGGTTTTCTTCCAGGATGTTCTCTACACGATCTGTAACCCTTGTGGCCCTGTCCAGAGAATTGTTATTTTCCGGAAGAATGGAGTCCAGGCCATGGTGGAATATCCTTTGTTGGAAAGAAGTAGGAGGTGTTCAGGGCACGAAGGGTGCTGGTGGCATCTGGCCAGTGTGTGGCTACTAGACGCCCTCACAGAGCCTGTGGGCCACTCGGAGACTAGCCAACACTTAATCAGATAGTGAGGGGCAATGAGAGACCTTGAAATGTTAGCGCAGAGAAGCAGCAGGGTGCAGTGAGCTAGACGGGGAGGAGGGAAACCAAACGGCCTCCTAGAGTATTACCGGGGTGTTGGTGCCCTGTGCCCTTGAGGACGGGAGCAGCCAGTATTTCTGGTTCAAGGAAGGGACCCAGAGAACCCAGGACTCTTGACAAAGTGAGGAAGAGGGTTTTGAACATTGGGAGGCGTCGTTAGGGCCATTCTGATCAGGGTGGGCTGGAGTTGGCTCAGTACAGGAGATCATCTGATGGCTAACAGCCCTGGGGAGATGGAGTGGATTAGAGGTTGGGCTTTTATCCACGAATAAGGTCAGCACTTTGAGTCCACCAGCACTTCTCAGAGAAAGGTGAAGCCTCCTGCTGCAGTGAAGCAGTAGTGTCTGAAGCGCACGCGGATAGTTAGTTCTCTGGCCTTTCGGATTGCTGTGAGTCGGAATCTACTTGCCGGCAGTGGTTTTTTTTATCACTTAACCTCCGACAAGCACCAGTGGGGAAGAGGGATTGTGTTTACATACAGCTGGGTGACTTGGAAGAGCGAGCGGGGCGTGAAGATTGTTAACCGTCCAGTCTAGGGGCCCTGGGGAGTCATCAGACAAGTCTCCGGGTGGTGGTGCCTGCCTTTGTCTTTCCTCGGCTCTCCTGACGCCCCTGTCCGAGCTCCATCGCCAGGCTTCCTTAACTGGGCTCACATTTGACTCGGTGCAGAGTGCTCAGCGGGCCAAGGCCTCTCTCAATGGGGCTGACATCTACTCTGGCTGCTGCACTCTGAAGATCGAATATGCCAAGGTAGGTGTGGGCAAGGACCTGCCCTAGTCTGCCCCCACAGGTATTGGGATGGCACGGCTGATCTCACAGTTTGTCTTCTTGCCCTCTGCAGCCTACACGCTTGAATGTGTTCAAGAATGACCAGGATACTTGGGATTACACAAACCCCAACCTCAGTGGACAAGGTAATCCCAGCGGCTGCTTTGTTTTAAACACACCACTGTGCCTTCACTCAACTAGTGCACTCCATAGGGCTGGGCGCAGGGTGGTTAGGCCATGCCGTTGGGCTCCTGGGGGGCACAGACCTCGCAAGGTACACCTCAGTTGAGGAGAGGGTGGGGCGGCCTCAGTAGGTCTTGGCTGCTGCTTGAGGGTTTTGAGTGTAGCTGAGGGGAGCAGAGTTCAGTCCAGTGTAGAGGGCTGACCTCCCAGAGGCCAGGGGCGCGGCTTGTACACCAGCAGCAGTTCTCGGTGAGTTCTGCTTCCTCCAGGAACTGGGGGAGGAGGGTCACGACCACTCATTCTCACTTACCTGGGCCCTTGCTCTTCACTGTTGATTGTGGGACTGAGGGCTTGGGGTGAGTCCTGGATGGAATGGAAGCAGGGAGAACAAACCCCGTTCGTTTGCAAAAGGGGGGACTGGGCAGCCCCACAGCGGCCTAATGGACAACCCCTTCTGAGAGTCTCAAGCCTGGCTTGCCTTTGATTGGAGGGCGAGAGGGTTGCCTTTGGCAAGCAGCAGCCCTCCCTCAGTAGACCATCCGCCTGTCTGAGGTGGTCTGATGGGTCCGACCAGGCCACGGGCTGAGGAAGGAGGCTGGCAATGATCTCTCGGAGGCCCAGGTTCTTGGGCAGAGGTGGGCTAGATTCTCCCCAGGACCCAACTGGTACAACGGGCCCTGCAGGCTCGGCTGCCCCTTCCAGAGCGAGAGACAAGGGCTGTGATGGAATGTACCAGAGCGGGCAGTGGCATTACACGACTGCTAACAGACACGGCAACCAACCATTTCTTCTCCAAGGAACATAAGTAGAAGATGTGCAGACCGGCAGGGGCTAGAGACAGGGGCCCGGCTGTCTTGGTTTTCATACCTCTCGGCTTTGGCTGCCCCAAGGCTGGGGAGCCCCAAATGGGGCAGCTGGGGGTGACCTGGAGTGAGGGCGGTGCTTCGCCACCCCTCAGGAACCATACGGCAGCGGCTCCGCCTCTGCACATGCTCACCAACAACACACAGGGTAGAAAAGCACTAGCTCTTCTTGGAGAACAGAACACGCAGCCTCCACCACGTCCCCAGAAACAGCTGCAGACTTGAGCTCACTACATCGAGAACACCACACCGCGCTCCAAGGAACCGCACCAAGCACAGAGACAGAGGCAGACAGAGACAAAGAAAGAGACCACCATGGCAGCAGACACTGCTCTTACTAGTCCAAGCAAACCCGAACCCGAGAATGTACACAGAAGTAGGAAACACAGGACAGCTCTCCCAGCCAGCGGCGCTCTGCGGAGAACGTTCCATAGAACGAAGTAGATTCCATGGGCCTCCAAGACAATAGGATCCTCTCTCCATTCCTCGCCATATGGGTGTTTTGTGGTTTTTGTTCTTGTGGTTTTTGTTTTGTTTTTATTTTGTTTTAAGTCCTTTGGTTTTGGGGAGGGCCTTTTTGTTTTGTTTCCTGTTTCGATGGTTTTTATTTCTTCAGCAGTCACCGGCTGCCAACATAAACTGCACCAACTGGAACTCAGAAACAAACCAAAAAAAAAAAGCCAACATCAAAAACAGACTTAAACCAGACAGCCAAACAGCTCAGAGGCACACCGGTACCTGCTGGCGGGTCACCGGGCACGCCCCCCAAGGCCCAAAGCGTGGGCATAGTGGGGCCACTGGCACACTCCCTCCCCAGGAGACACGCACATGGAGCGCCACACAGCCAGAAGCACCGCACTGAGCACATACTTTGAGAAGCTGACACCACGGAGGGACACTGCCCACTGCATACACCTTCATGGTCCACTCTGGTATCTTCTGAGGACAGAACATCTGGGAGCCTGTTGGGATGTAATTCAAAGCATTGACTTTAAATAAGAAAAACGAGTCTTAAAAAAAAAAGAAAGAAATGTAGCGGATGTGTGCCGTAACTTGTATTTATGACTGTAAAACCATGTGATGCAGGGCCGCAGTGTATGTTTGATGGGACGCCATCTTTCAGAACTGTGCTAACTCACTGTTGAAGCGTCCAATGGTAAGAGAAAATACAGATTTGTTTCTTTCTTGTGACAAATGGACATTGTACCCTTGTACTTCTGCTGTAAGTAGCCCTTCTCATCTTTGTACTGAGTGGTTGACGACGGCCCTGGCTGGGGTGGCAGGCAAGGGCGGTGGTCGCGGAGGCGCCTCGCTGGCTTTGGCACCAGCCGGCCCTGGCCTTGAAAGCTCATCCTGGCTCGGCCACCAACTGTTCCGTTTCCTGATTGGCTCGACTGTGGCTGGAGGATGAAGTGGCACCTACCTCATAGGGTTGTTGTGAGGAATCAAACCAGCTATCTGTCTGTCTCTGTGAAGCAAGCGCATGGCGCCGGGTCTGCCACTTGTGCGCTCAGCAGGGGTGGCGGCAGTCCGGAGCTGCGGCCGGGGCTGGGTGGTGGGGCTGCGCCATTGTCTGGGTTGGAGAACGTCAATGCCTTGGACCTGATTGCTTACTTGAATTGACTTGAGATGTTGCCCTGCTTGCCTCCTGCAGCCCCTCATCTTGAGGTCCGGCCTGGGTGGGAAGGGGCTTAGTTGGGGTTAGGGTGCAGAAAGAGTTGCAGTGAGCAGGGAGGCCCTAGAGGACCTAGAACCTTGGGGGCCCAGTTTTATGTTTCCGCCTCCCCTGGGTTACATGCTTAACTTCCCCCGACCTTGGCACTTGTCTTAGAAGGCTGCTCTTGGCCCCTGGCACACAGCAGGGTCCCCTCACAGCTGCGAGGTCCCCAGTGGGCCTGCGCACTAGGCTTCCTCCCAGGCGGATGAGCGCCCAGGGCCCAGCCTTTCCTTCATTGTGAAAGGAAGCACCGCCCCCTAAGGGAGGGACACGCGTGAGAAAAGGCTCCTGCCTGCAGGTCTGGGCTTCAGGCCCAGCATAGATAAGAAGGGAGACCCCAGCCCCAGCAGCCCCTGTAAGGAGGAAGGCTGCACAGCCAGGCCCAGGGCTGAGGGGTTTTGAGACGAGCCTCCAGCTAGCTGGGAGAGCCTGTCTTCTTTATGTCTTGGTACTGACTGTGCTTTCTGTCCACAGGTGACCCTGGCAGCAACCCTAACAAACGCCAGAGACAGCCCCCCCTTCTGGGAGATCACCCCGCAGAATATGGTGAGGGCAGGGGGTTCCCCTCCGTGGACTCCCGTGGCTCATGTGCCCCTGCCCGTCGCCCGCCACGAAAATTCTCACCCGTCCCCCCTCTCTTTCCTTCCCACCCCCCAGGAGGGCCCCACGGTGGGTATCACAGCCATTATCATGATGAGGGCTACGGGCCTCCCCCGCCTCACTACGAAGGGAGACGCATGGGCCCACCAGTGGGGGGTCACCGTCGGGGCCCTAGCCGTTATGGCCCCCAGTATGGGCATCCCCCACCCCCTCCCCCACCACCCGAATATGGCCCCCACGCCGACAGCCCTGTGCTCATGGTCTATGGCTTGGACCAGTCTAAGATGAACTGTGATCGAGTCTTCAACGTCTTCTGCTTGTACGGCAATGTGGAGAAGGTGAGCTGCCGCCTCTGCCGGAGACCAGGGCGGCCCCTCGAGCCCCGTCTGTCTGCTGAGCCGGGGAGCTTGACTGGGAAGAGGTTACTATTGTTCACTAAGGCTGCCTGTTGCAGGCAGGTCTTCTGAAGTTTCTGACAGGACAGGATCACCAAAAAGTACTACTAAATTACCAGTGACCTCATTCAACCCTCGTTGCACTGGACAGTGTTGGCTTAGATCGCCCAGCCCTTGGGCACAGTAGCACGTGTGCAGCAGCAGACGCTAGCGACCCGGCCGGGCTGCGCTCAGACTCATTTCTTAGTGGTGTGACAGTCATGTGGTGGTCTAGTCTGTCCTCCATTTTACAGGCCGATGTGATGACAACCTCCACTGTCGCCCAGTGTCAAGTTGTCTTATAACCCCCACCTGGCCTTTGACACCTACCTCCATCTCAAGTGGGGAGTAGGTGTTTGCATCAGTGGGAAACCTTACTGTAAGCCAAGGGAAGAGTCACCCCTTGAAAATCAAATCCAGATGCAAGGATTTCCTGCAGAACCCTTGGAGTGCAGCCCCCAGCTTGGCCTGTTGAGGGCAGTTGCTCGCGTATTCTAACTTTCTCAGCTGTGCACCAGGTGGCGCTGTTAGTAGTAACACAAGGACTTGTTTAGTTTCCTAATAACCCGGGGTGAGCCAGTTGGGGAAATGGAGGCTTGCATAGAGATGAATCCCTCACTCAGGTTTCTAGAACCGTGATGTGGAAACACTATGTGTTCTGCGTGTGTGTGTGTGTGTGTGTTTTCCTGGCTTGACACTTTGCTGGTGGCCTCCTTGTTCATGGCCACTCCTGGCTCCGGCCTGGCCTGGCTTGGGCTCCTGCCTTCCCAAGTGCCCTGGCGTTGACAGGTGGAGAGACTGCTCACAGCAGGAGCTGGTACCTTTGTAACCGGGTGGGGGGCATGGCTCCTGGAGGCCAGGCCGGCAGGGGACTGACTACGGCTTTGCTTCCCTCTCCCCCAAGGTGAAATTCATGAAAAGCAAGCCAGGGGCTGCCATGGTAGAAATGGCTGATGGCTATGCTGTAGACCGGGCCATCACCCACCTCAACAACAACTTCATGTTCGGGCAGAAACTGAATGTCTGGTAGGTGCCCTCTCCGGCCAGGTTGGGGCGGCTGAAAGAGAGCCAGCCTGGAAGGCAAAAGGGGAGAGGTGGTGCAGGGTTCTAGGTGTTCCTCCTGAGTGATGGGAGAAAGTGGGTCAGCTTTGCCTCTACAGTTGAACCACGCCTATCCTGTTGACACTCGGCACTCCAGACAGGCACGGGGCCAGTCACAGCTTTGGGGTACAACTTCTGGGTCTTGACAGAGGACTTCCTCTTGTTCTTCTGCCAGTGTCTCCAAGCAACCAGCCATCATGCCTGGGCAGTCGTACGGGCTAGAAGACGGCTCCTGCAGTTACAAAGACTTCAACGGCTCCAGGAACAATCGCTTCTCCACCCCAGAGCAGGCAGCCAAGAATCGCATCCAGCACCCCAGCAACGTGCTGCATTTCTTCAACGCCCCCCTGGAGGTGACCGAGGAGAACTTCTTTGAGGTGGGTGTCGTGGAGGTTCTCACCACAGCCAAGAAGGCCTTTTTTGTAGTGGGTTAAGCCTTTCAACTCCTGTTGTTCTGACGAGCCTGGGTTGGGTGCTAGGGCCAGACTCAGATCTGGTCAGCCTGATGGTGCTAGGTGTCTGCCCCCAGGGAGGCCCACCAGTTTTGTTTCTTTGACTGGCTTCTCAAGCGCATCTGCTGGGAAATATTCCTCATGACCAAGCACACACACACAGTGCCTTAGTCAGGACCCCGGGTGCCTAGATAGCATCTGAGGTGTGGTCCCAGGAACTGGGGCCGCTGCGGGAAAGGTGGTCACACTCACACTGGTGTTGGAATCTGGCCCTCCTTGTGTGCTGGGAGTTTGCTCCATTCTGTAAACTGGTTCAAGGTGAGGAGCGCTCCAGGAGCTGGGGGTGGGGGGCGGACATGGACTTGTGAAAGTCATTGCCCAGTCCTGTGTGTGTGCATACGACAGTGAGGAGCCTCGATACTTAGTCCGGGCGGGGGTAAGGCTTGTTTCTGAGTTAGGTCTCTTCCTGTCCGTTGGCAGATCTGTGACGAGCTGGGAGTGAAGAGGCCCTCCTCTGTGAAGGTGTTTTCAGGCAAAAGTGAGTAACACCCCTGCTTCCCCCTGAGTTCCTCCTGGTCGGCTGCCTGCTCTTCTCAGCCTGACGCCTTGCCTCTCCTTGCTTCCTGCTCAGGTGAACGCAGCTCCTCTGGGCTGCTGGAGTGGGAGTCCAAGAGCGATGCCCTGGAGACACTGGGCTTCCTGAACCATTACCAGATGAAAAACCCAAGTGAGTATCTGTGGGGTCTGCTCTTTGCTCCCCTGCGGCCCAGTTGTTGATTGGCTTCAGGCTAAAGCCTGCCATTGGGACGGCGTCAGACCGTGTCTCACAGGTGCTGACACAGGCAGGCCGCCCAGACCTGGTCTCCAGGGGAGCAGCCTGATGGTCCCCTGGAGGGCCAGCCTCACTGTTTGTTGCCATCCATACCTGCCAGCTTGGGAGGTGTTCCGGCTTGCTCCCCAGGGAGCTGGCATCTCTTGAGCAGCTAAACCTGCCATTAAAACAGCCTCGTCCAAGGCTGGCTCAGGCACGACCCTGGCAGGGGCACCCCACCACCTGCCAGGCTGTGTACGTGGGTGGGCTGAGGAGTCCCCAGTGGGATGCTGCTTCCCAGGGCGTGGGGGGAGATCGGGAAAAGAGCAGTGCTCTATGCATTGGGCTGGGCTTTTGAGTCTTGCCCTGCAGTCAAACTGCAAACCCTGAGGACAGTGTGTCACCCGGAAACCTGTTGTGGGGAGCCCCGGGTCCGAGGGCCCAGTTGACCGGGTCTTGTCTCTCTCCTCTACAGATGGGCCATACCCGTACACCCTGAAGTTGTGCTTCTCCACTGCTCAGCACGCCTCCTAATAGATGCCCAGGAAGAGTTCTGTCTGAGCAGGAAAACATTGTTCTTTTTTTGCGGTTTCTTTGGTTTTGTTTTATTTCCTTTTGCAAATGTTCTTGTATTCCTTTTTTAATACTAGGTTTAGAGAGGCTTAACCATAACAGCAACGCTGGATGTCTGGAGGGGGCGGGGGAGGGGGACGGAATCTCCCAAGATTAACCTTCACTTTTTGGAAATGACTGTACATGTGATTTTTTTTTTTCCCCTCGTTCATACATTTGTGCTGCCCATGTACTCTTGGCACATTTCAATAAAATTGTTTGGGAAATACACTTGCTGGTGACTGCCAAGGTGTGTCTCTCTCTCCCTCCCACTCAGTCTTCTGAAGGAGGTGCAGGCAGGCCAGGGCAAGGCAGGCCCTGGGCAGGTGCAGGCTGAGCCATGTCTGTGGCCAGGACTGCAGACCGGGAAGTGGTGATGTACAGCCTTTTGGAATCCGGAGAAAATGGAGGAAGCCCAGTGGCTCTACTCGAGTAACTCGCTCCCATCAGCTCCGTTTCCACTGTCTAGCCAGCCTGTCGGGGTTGGCCTGCCCCGTGGGCTTCCAAGAACGGACCAGGCTGGTAGCGAGCCTCATCTTTGCTCCTCTGCAGCAGCTGGTGCTTTCCAACTGTTGACTTTGTTGTTTGCCGCTGAAGGCATAACCACCATGCTTCCAGGGCTCCCTATCAAGTGCAGTGTAATTGCGGAGGGCCACTTAAAAGTAAGTGAGATGGGATTTGGAGTAAGGTTTAAATAAAACTGAAAGGTAAGCGGAGTAGTCTCAATCCTGAAGATGCAGCCTGCTGTATTTATATTCTCCATCACTTAGCTACCCTTCCAAGTGCATTGCACTGTATGGGTAATCCATAACAGGCATCACCAAAGGGAACTGTGGTGTGGGAGGTGAGCTTCAAAGTACCATTGGAACGGAGGGCAGGCCCCAATTGCAGTAGTGTGGAAGGAGGTGGGTGCAGGCGCAATCCTACTTGGAGAACCTTGGTCCCACTGGAGGGAGGCGTGGCAGGCAGAATAGGACCTCACAGGCAGTCACCGAAAGAACACTTGGGAGCACACTGTCCTTTACAAAGGTGAACAGCTGAAGTGACACAGCATCAGGTGGCTACACCAGAGGGTAGGGTTCCAGACAATTGGGACAAAGAGACGGGTTCTTTGGGGGTTATTTTAGCGCATTCCGTCTCCCACCTGGCACCCGGTTTCTTTAGCCATGTTCCAAGTCTTCACATTGTATGTACGTACAGCGTTCCACAAACCTACCTACATTCTGAGTGGACTAGTAACGTGATCGTAGAACTGAGCGAGAGGGTTTTCAAAGCTGTCTTTATTCAAGAGTCCTGTGGTTCACCTCCCGCTGATAAAAGGTTGACATCACCAATCACCAGTTGTCTTACTATAAAAACTACAACCTAGGAAGCCCTGTGTTCTCTGCCTTCCAGAGTTGCTATGAATCAAGGGTGACAAGACAGTGCGTGTGTCATCTTTACTGACAGGGCAGGTCACTAAGTCTTTTCCTAAAGAGTGGCTGGGTGGGTTCAAACTGCCAACCTCTTAGCAGCCAAGCACCCACTGAGTGGCCTGGGCTCACAGCCATGTAAAACCCTGTATTTGACACTAACTGGACATACAGAATGCAGTGAGTTCTACAAAGAGCCTTCGGTTTTTCATCTGGAAGATAAACGAACGGGCCCTTTTACGTCAATGATGTACCTTAGAGACCAGGATGGAAGACTTGGTCTTCCGTACTTTGACTATGTTATCAGGAGAGACCAGTCCCTGGAGGAGGACATCATGCTTAGTAGAGGGGCAGGACCTGGACAAATGGGACGGACAGCGTGGCTGCAGCCATGAGCAGAAGCCAAAGAGGCATGGTGAGGTAGGTGCAGGACCAGGCAGTGCTTCTGTTGTGCAGAGGATTGGGGGGGGGGGGCCCCCGCTTTGAAACAGGGTAGTTTGCTATCACTAGCTGGAGAAAGGCATTCTCCCTTTATGCCCCAGTAGAGTTC